CCAAAGCTCCAAACCCACCCATCCCCTCCAAAGGTTTGTTTTCAAACGGCGTGAAAGATCTGCCAGTTTTAAGGCAATTGAACAGGTCCCCTCTGAGCACCGCTCCAGCAAACGAACTGGAGAAAGTTGCAAAAACTTTTTCAAAGCTGGAAGGCACCTCTGGAAGGACCCGAGCTACCAATACGGCATTGCTAAGCGCAGAGCTCCATAAGGTTTATTGCACATTTAGGGGATCCCCGCACCCCACCCCCCAAAAAAATCATTCCTGGGAAGTATGCAAAAGACCGGGCATGAATGCGGTCCAAAAGACAATACGGCGGTACCTGAAGCCAGCCAGCCCGACCCGCCTCCAGCGCCAAGACTTGCTTGCACAAGAGCTAGCCGGGAAGTGGGAGAAAACGACATTTCCCAGCGGCCCTCTCGTGGTGAACTACAACTCCCAGAATGCCACTGGGGAGGCTCGAGTTAACCTCTGCCAGGCTGCAGTCTAATAAAGACGTAGGAAAGCAGTATGGTTCAAGAAGGGGGAGAGGCACTTCCCGTTTTGCAAAAAAAACCCTGTTTTACTTTCTTTGGTGGCTCAGCGCTTTGCAGTTCAGTTCTGTCCTCCTCCTTAAATCTCCATCTTCCACGCATCTCCATTTTTTTAAAGGGCTCTTTTCCCTGCAGTGGTAAATATGGGTGGGAATCAGTGTTTCTCAAACTTGGCCCCTTTAAGATGGGTGGACTTCAACTCCCAGAATTCCCTGGGGGAATTCTGGGAGTTGAAGTCCACCCATCTTAAAGGGGCCAAGTTTGAGAAACACAGGTGTGAACTGTGCTTCTTTGGAATGACTCCATGCCACACTGCCATAATTAGGGGTAGAGAGACCAGGAAAAACCCTTTGTAAAAACCCTTTGCACACAAAACCTGCCAATCACTTTTAAAAGCACTTTCCACGCGGGTTAACGACCCAGCTGTCCCTGAGATATAAAGAAAAGTTTTCGCATTTTGCTGCCATCTTGTGGTCGTCTGGATTTTGGCAGCCTTAGTCATTATTCTGCAAATAATAAAATGCAATGAAGCTTTCCTATTCCACCTCCCTCTAGTGCTACTTAAAGTGGCTAGCTTAAATCTAAGTTGGGGCATTTGCACAATTAATTTTTTTATCTACCCTCTCCCAGCCCTTGTTAACACCCAAGTGATTTGCTTTTTAATGTCAGCCTATCATGGTCAGTATAGTGAAATATATTTAGCACCCTAATTGTCCACCTGCCTATAAAAATTAAAATTAGAAACTTAATCAGCTTTAACTGAGAGCAACTTTTATTCTCATCTCGAGGCTTCTAGCCCTGTTCTCCACTGTCAGTTAGTCTGACCTGCAGTTATTTAGAAGGTGTGCTTTCACAACACCCAAGAACCAGACACACTGAATTCAAACCCTCCCAGCTCTTCTTCAATCGTATGATTTGGAAAAGTTGGCCAAGTTGAGTTGTAGGTATCTCTTTCCCCACAGTTTCATCTCAGTGGTCTATCTTACCTTGAAGTAAGACAGATCTTTCAAACAGATATCCACCTGGACTAATTATTTTGAAAAGTAGCTTTCTCCCTGCAAATAATTCTGCTCAAGGCAAACACAAAACTGAAATATTCCTGGAGTGCATATCTATCACTCCAAAGAAAAGTTCTGGGTATCTCCCAAGTCATCCTAATCTGCTTTGCCTGCATTAACTCCATAACTTGTATGTCTCAACCTGGGGTTGAGAAGATGTTGACCAGCTAGACTGATTGGTTGATGGTTGGGTCTCCGCAATGCATGTAACCAGGTTAATGAAAGGTACCGTAGATGCAACTGCACATGCTAAGCTTGCTATCATTTTCCTGGAGTTATTTTTTCATGGCTTGGAGCATGCAAGCTTGGTCTGATGGGTTTAGGGTCATTTTATCAACCAGCTGACTGAGCTGTGCAAACGTGGCCACGGGGCCCATCCAGCCATCACCATGATGGATATGCAGATTCAGATCCAAAGCCAATGTATATTTCTGTCATTGACCATATATATGAAATGCAAGCCTACAGGTATGTTGCCAAACAATAGCAACATAACATACGTTAGCTCCTTTACCTTCAAGTAACACTATTCGTCACCCCTCTGATCTGTTAGGTGCAACAAGAAGCTTAATGGCTTTCAAGGTGATTTTGTCAAGATGGTCAGATGAAAGATAAACAACACAGAACAGGCCAGGCCGACCTGGATATTTTGTTAGAGAAGGGACTTATTTTTCTTGCAGTCACTTAGTCCCTTCCAACTCTTTGTCCACAGATGGACATCATTTCACCAGGATTGTGATTGAGTTCTTGCACACTCTTGCTTGTGTCAACAGCATTAGTATCTGTCCCATCTCTTCTTAGCCTCTATACTGATTGCCTTTGATGGGAACATCAGGTCTTCTGTAAGTCCTGTCCTTGAATTATTGCTCCGAATATTTTTAGCTTCTCTATCAGTGCTTCCAATAAGCTGATTTAACTTCATCTAGTAGTTAATGATTTTTTTTATCCTTGCATTCCAAGGTAAATTCTCAAGGAACATCCTCATAATAGTTGCAACAGAGCCCAGTGAAACTTCTCTGGAGCTTCTCTCAACATAGTCTCTCTGAATATGGGACCTTTGTATATCTTTGTTGGGAGACTGAACGTATGCCTGGAGACGTATTGAAGACATCGTTCCATCATATCTTGGCATGGTGAACTATTTCAATCATTCACCTGGCCTTCTGCTATAAATCTGTGCTCCTGATCTTATCTTGACTCAGGTTTGGTCCAATCATAAGTCACTGTAGAGAGGCTTTGGATCATCTCATAAATGGTGGGACGAAGCTATAAGACAAGTCATGACTGTGAATATCTTCCAGATCAGGGGAAAGTATCCAAATTCTCCTAGTCACCAACTGGGGCATTCACACAATAAGGAAAGCTTGATCTAAGTTAATCTCGGTTCAGTTTTTTGGGGAAGGTGGGACTGTGGGTGTCATACCAACATGAGATATGAGAAAGTTAAGGATGCACCAACGTGTGAACCTTGTAGGAGTGAGTGGCTCAGGCCGTCCTACGAAACGTGTCGCAGGAACCCAGCCCATTTTGCCAAGGTTGGAACACAACTACAGGGAGAGTTTAGAGTCCCCCGTGTTGTGTGAACACAGCAAACGGGGCTCGGGCCACGCTAAGGATGCACGTGGTGGGAACCCAGCCCGCTTTGCCAAGTTCAGAGTGCACGTGGTGCACAAAAATGGGTTTAAGGCAGTGTTGTCCAAACTTGGCCGCTTTAAGACG